GGGTTACGTTGGATGGGGCCTTGAAAAGCTGAACAGACGGAGGTTCTTGTATGAAGGTCAGTCAGAGCGTTGCCAGTGTGAGACAAGTTTTTCTTGCCCTCCCTTCCCTAATTCCTCTTACCCCCCCTCACAATTTTTTTATTCTGTTTTGGAAATTTTACCAAGCTACTGTCACTGTCACCTGCCATGGCAACTGTGCATGGGTCCCAGACTCTTTGAGGGCGGTACTTGTTGGTAAAAGTTAGACAATGGTGGCTTGAGCTCAGGTATGGGTGTCTCTTCCCAGCATAGGTTATGTTGGTAACATGGCAGTGATCATCAGGCTGCATCTGGGGTACATTGGTAGTAATTATTGATTCTAAAGCTGGAAGAGCACAATAAATAATGAATGGGGGGAGTCGAGTCATGTAAACTGTCAAAGTCATATGACTGGGTGTCCTCCAACCACAGAGCTCTCTCTGCACCGCCAAGCAAAGAGAACTCCAATTTTTATGAATGGGATGGGCCCTTCCATTCATCCCCAACCTCCTCCGTGCTTGGCTGTCAGCCCTTCGCCAACTGCAACATGGCTGCCCATCATGTAGCTGTTACGTTTGAGAGAAGGTGACTTTCCACTCGAGAAGCTCCTCAGAAGCCAAATTATGTTCCCATCGCTGCTATAAGTTTGAGGCCAAAAGGTTTGGCCGCATTTGTGGGAGGAGTCGTGGGCGGTGGCCTCGTTATTAGAGGGGGACTCACCTGCATCGGACGGACCGCCTCCCTTCCCCTTCCTTCTTTAAATTTCACAGGAGTATGCCCCCTTATTGGCATTGCTGGACACCAAGATCATGGCACACCTCAGATCTTATTGTCAGGGTGACTTACGCTCTGGGGGACATGGGAGACTCTGACCACAAATATACATTGTAGAGATGCTGACTGCTGTGCACTTACTTTCCACCTTGTTTGTTGAACGCACAGGCTAGTGCCACCACCTGTGACGTCACCTTACTTATAACCGGAACACACAGCATGGAGCGAACTTCTAAGCCCAACATGTTGTTCAGGTGCTTGTGCTCTTCCTAAGGAGATAAAGAGAGAACAATTACTCCAACTGGCCGATCACAGACCAATCCATGGCTCCTTCCCGCTCATTATCCGATGGCTGAATATTCAGACTCAGACATCCCTGCTATTGTCCCTGGCTTCATTCTCACACACTTTGGTTATAGGACTGCTTCCACCCACCTTGGACTCTGCCAGTCCGAGGTGGGTGGAAGCAGACCTATAACCCAATTTTATCTTTTGCCCCATGTGCTCCAAGATGGAGACTCTCATAGTTTAGAGTTAGGTCCGCACTATATGGAGGTGCCTGGGCGCGGCTGTGCAGCTTTCACATTTTCTGCAGAATATGTGTATCTAAACCTCTGTTTTGAACCTTAGCGGTGAAACACGTTTCTTTGCATGCTGGCTGGTGAGTGTGCTGGGAAACTTTTTGTTGTTTTACTTGATAAAGCCCTTCCATGTGCACCTTGCTGTAAAGCTGGTGACGCATTGATGAGTGCGTTTGCCATTTGCTTCATTCTCACACACTTTGGTTATAGGTCTGCTTCCACCCACCTTGGACTCTGTCAGGGACCAGAGCACCTCCAGGTGGCGCTGGAACCAGGTCCTGCGGTTCCGGTGCTCACCTGCAGGTGTGTCCAGGCAGCCAGGAGCGGTCAGGTACCAGACCTCCACTGGGTGGTGCTAGAACCTGCAATTCCGATGCTCACCTGCGGGTGTCTCCCAGCTGTCGGCGATTAGGCTGGGTTCACACCTAGGCGTATTGAATATGCGCGTTTGTCGCGTGGTTCGCGTCACGCGTTTTGTATCGCGTTCGGACGGGCGGAAATACGGCAAGGTGTGAACCAGACCCATTGAATACAATGGGATTTAGATGTTTGAGCGTTTTGTAGAGCGTTCGTCGAGCGTTGAACGCGCTACAAAACGTTCAGGTGTGAACCAGGCCTAAGTCTCCACCTGGTGCTGGCCTGGGAGGGTATTTAGCCCCTTCTCACAGTGAGGCCAGTGCCCCAGTATTGTCGCCAAAACCTATATCCTGTTGCCTCTTTGGACCCTGGGGTCTCCTGATCTGTGGCTCCCCCTCTTGTTGCCCTGCTCCCCAGATTTACTTGACCTGTTATACTCTGTGTGTGATTCTGCTGTTTGCATTTAGTTTGTGGGGTTGCTTGTGTTTATATGATTTTGGTATGTCTAATAAACTATAGGTTCATAGCCTTGTTTGGTGTGGTTGAGTATTTGGTCCTCCTGTACAGATAGCTGCATGCGGTGATGGGCACCTGTGCACGGTAGGGTGGCCACCTTTTCTTCAAGCGAAACCCGAACACTCTAGCGACGTGCAGACATTTTTTGGGGAGCATAAGTCATAGCTTATTCATATGAACATAGCGCCGCCCATTCATATGTAAATATCATAGTTGAGACTGGGGGGGGCCAGTAGCCCCTATCTTAATTTTGGTTGCCCCTGTCTGCTTGACATCTTGTGTCCAGGTTTCTGATACCATGAAACCCGAACACAGCATTCAAAACCCGGACTGTCCGGGTGAATCCTGGACAGGTGGCAACCCTAGTGCACGGTATCATGATAGACTCTTCCCAATCCACCTGCTACTTCCTCTAATATAATATGTGGAGATAGACCCCTTATCATGGCTACAGAAGGTGTGCAGACCCAGGAACCCATATGCAGAGTCCTCATCACCAGAGACCCAACTTAATGACATAGATTGTACCAATGGTTTAGATGACCTAAAATGTGCCACATCGTATATATTTTATATATTGACTAAAATAACTTTTATTAGTATTTTTATTATAATAATTATTTTGTTTTCTTGCTTGAGGCCGGCCTGACATGCACATAACATGGGACTACCCTTAGCCCTGTGTCCAGGGCCTTCTTTAACGCAGGGCAAAAGGGGCAGCTGCCCAGGGCCCAGTCATTGTTGTGGGACCCAAAGGGCAGCTGCCAAAGGTGGCCTTTGCACCTGGATGGGGGATAGGGAGTCTGCCAGGTGAGGGAGGGGGGGGGTTGGTTAGGGGATCGGGATGGGTCGGGAGTGGGGGGCCCAAGAAAATGTCTGCCCCGGGGCCAATCAATATTAAAGACGGCCTTGCCTGTGTCTCAGCTGATACTTGCATAGACACCAAAGCTTGGCTTGGCCTTGGCTTTATGCCTAAGGTTGGGTGAATGTCCTGGCCTGGAGTTGGGTTCACTGTTCCCCATTCATCTCCTTCTAGCCAAGCGACTTGTGGTCAGAGACATGTGACCAGTTGCAGCTCACCCAGAAGTGCTGACAACGGTATTTTTAACCAAAAAAAAAGGTAAAACTACCTAAATCGGCATCAGAAGGGTAAGTTAGGAGTTAAAATTTGGACTTTGTCCAATGTCATCTGGAATATCTGCGTGAGCTTCTGGGCGTCAGGCGGCTAAAGCTGGAGCTGATGTTATTTGTAACACAAGTACATATCTTATCCAGACTGCAGACAGCTGATTGGATTAATCTTGCTGTGCAGAGTTCATTATATGCACAGAATGTAATTTTGTCTGGTGGGTGCAATAGGCAGAAAAACGTGGAGGCCGGATGACAAGGTCCATTGTCCTTGACAAAATCCCTCTGCCAGTACCCGAGCCGGGACAAGCACACAATCTCAGGGCAGACAAAGGTCAGGTCTTCTCCATACAATAGAAGTAGAAGTGTCTTAGGGATGGATGCAGCACGAATACCTTATCAATCTCTGATAGAAGAGCACAAAGTGAGCAAATCTATCTATAGATAATGCTCCCTGTCGTCAGGATTCTGGGCTCATGTAGGGATTATTTCATTGCCTGCAGACAGGTTCCTCCGAGCACTAGTTATGTGGTGTGAGGTGTGCTGGCCGGGTATATTAGGTAAAGAATGGCACCACAATGAGATGCACTGTTGGTCATGCGCTCCCAGGGCCGGATATACTCTCTCTGCTGCCCCAATGCCAGGTTCCTCAATGCGCCCCCCCCCCCCTGTATGAAGGCTGCATACCAGTGATCTCGGTGACATTGCCAAGATCACGTGTACATAACAAGCGGCGGCTTCCCCGCTGTACATTTAGCTACCCACCAGTCACCCGGAACTGCATGTCCCGGACATCGGGACACAGGAATTCCACACCCCTGCTGCCCCTCTACTCCCTGCTGCCCCAAGGCCGGCCTCGGTTGGCCTTGTGGGAAATCCAGCCCTGTGCGCCCCCATACGTTACGGTAATGCACGATCAAATGCACATTATACTTTGCATTAGCACAATGATCTGCAATCTCCTGTGGGTTTCAGGCTCATGGTAGAGGTCATGGGATCAAATCAACCTTTATTTGTAGGCTTCAAATTTGGATGGTCTGAGTGAACCCCCCAAGAAACGTGGACTTGTAGGATTAGGCTGGCTATCCTGTTGCCTGGCAAGTGGTCTTTGCCTTGAGGACGGATAGGTGAGGCTTCTGTTTAGACCCATCGCCAAGCACTGTAGGGTTAGAGGGGTGTAGGAATAGTGAAGGCAGAGACAGGGAAAGGTAAGGTGCAGGAGTAGAGGGAGGACAGATAAGGTGCAGGAGGAGAGGGAGGACAGATAAGGTGCAGGAGTAGAGGGAGGACAGATAAGGTGCAGGAGTAGAGGGAGGACAGATAAGGTGCAGGAGTAGAGGGAGGACAGATAAGGTGCAGGAGTAGAGGGAGGACAGATAAGGTGCAGGAGTAGAGGGAGGACAGATAAGGTGCAGGAGTAGAGGGAGGACAGATAAGGTGCAGGAGTAGAGGGAGGACAGATAAGGTGCAGGAGTAGAGGGAGGACAGATAAGGTGCAGGAGTAGAGGGAGGACAGATAAGGTGCAGGAGTAGAGGGAGGACAGATAAGGTGCAGGAGTAGAGGGAGGACAGATAAGGTGCAGGAGTAGAGGGAGGACAGATAAGGTGCAGGAGTAGAGGGAGGACAGATAAGGTGCAGGAGTAGAGGGAGGACAGATAAGGTGCAGGAGTAGAGGGAGGACAGATAAGGAAAGCATGGCAAGGATGTGCATGGACTACAAGAGGCTTACTCATTGTCGGCCCAATCCTATGGTAAAACCTCTTGGGGAAGCCTGTCGGAGGTGGAGCCACTGTCTGATTGAGTGATGGGGATTGTGGGCTGAGTCCACTATACGGCAGGACATCTTCTGGGCAAATGTTGTGCTGGGCTTCTGATGTGTCCCTCTGCCATGGAGGAGGGATGTGCTACCTCCAGTACCTGTACCCAATTTGTCCTTTACTACATATGGAGCCAAGATGGAGCCACGATATTTGGCTTTGTGGCACAGTACAGGAAGTAATACATTGTTCACAGGAATAAGACAGCTTCCTGGCGGGCTCGGCACGCGGAGCTGCAAACACGCCCGAGCCCATCCTTATTCAGGAACTGATACAATTTTGATAGTGAAGTACTGTACAAGAACAGATACATTGTTCAAAGTGCAGTACAGGAACCGATACACTGTTCACACCCTGAGACGGGTAACGTGGAAGTCGCACCATATATCACCGACCCAACGTTCACTTTTTGCCGGGATGTTCCTTTATTTTAAAGGAGAACTATGAGGGGGGTGCTTTTCACTCACCTCATAGTTCTAGCCGACCTGTGACAATGAGACTGTCACAGGTCGGCTCAGTAGATCGGGAGGTGAGAGAACACATACCGGCGTTCGCTCACCTCTCGATCCTGTCACGGCTCTCTGCCGTGACAGGGGGAGGGGCTGGATTCCCCCCTCCCCGCTCCGATCTGCCAGCGCTGACTGGTTTGCAGATCGGATATATGTTTTATCATTGCATCTCCCTTTGTATAGCCCTGAGGAAGGGAGTGCATTCGACCCCCTGATACTCCGGCTGCGGCGTCTCAGTATACCGCGAGCTGTAGCTCCCTATATACTGAGCCTAGGGTGACGGGAGGACGCTAGTTTGTGTCTTCCCGTTACCCTAAGGAGAACTATGGGCGAAAGCCCTGACCCTCATAGTTCTCCTTTAATAATTGGCCTCTAGAATTTTCTACAGCTAATAATCTCTGTGCTGCTAACCGGAAAGCTCTTGAGTATTCAGCTCCTGAACCCGCGCTCACTTTGAAGGTCTTATCTCAGGCCCGGCAGCTTGCCCCAGGGTTACATTTTTGCTGCCTCTGGGCTGGAGATATTAAAATGTATAAAATATTCTGCAGCCGCCTCAGCCGCCCCTGCGTCTCTATTTGCCTTCCATTGCTTCTTCTGTTGTATCAAAGTATGAATGAAATTAAAACCGCTTTATGAAGTTTGCACAGTCAGAGGCAAATATTAATAAGTGTAAGAGAACAAAGCGCTGGGAGTGACACCATGAATATTATGAGCCATCGGTGAGAGACTACAGCCATAATATATATATGAGCCTCTAATGCACGATTTGTTATTATGGCAATGACTGTCCGATATAGAGGACATCAGCCCCGGGAACGCAGCACAGGGATGGTGGGAGCCCCTCATAATGGGCACAGCGGGTGTACAGACCCGGGAACTCAGCACAGGGATGGTGGGGGCCCCTCATAATGGGCACAGCGGGTGTACAGACCCGGGAACTCAGCACAGGGATGGTGGGGGCTCCTCAAATTGGGCACAGCGGGTGTACAGACCCGGGAACTCAGCACAGGGATGGTGGGGGCTCCTCAAATTGGGCACAGCAGGTGTACAGACACAGAAAATAAGGTGGGCAGATCTGGGACACTATGGCCATTAATATGGAGTTGCTCACTTTGGGTCTATAACCCCCACCACTCTTCTTGCTTTCCACAACATATTAGAGGGTGTCTTGGGAATTTGGCCCATATGTGAGGTCAGGTACTGATGTTGGATGAGAAGACCTGACTCACAATTGGCGTTCCAATTGATCCCAAAGGTGGAAAACTATGGGCAGAAACCAGCAAACCCAAAAAGCTATGAATAAGCCACATAGTGATCAGAAAGAGTCATCATCACCAAAAACATCACAGAGAGCAAACAGGTACTGACCGAACTGATGTCATGCAGCATGATCGATTTCTTCTTGTCCACCACTTGACCAAGATGTCCGAATGTCAGCTGAGGGGGAAGGAAAACATTTTCAGATTCTTCATTGCACAATAATGTTATCACAGATACAGTGTATGGAACTAGGATCTTGTTCAGGTGGACCTGTCATCGGATACATTGTCAGGGTGACCCTGCAGAGCCCACCATATAGAGTCTATGGTGGGCTCTGCAGGGTCACAGGTGGACTATGTGGGCTCTTTAAGGGATGTAACTAGAAATCACAGGGCCCCATACAAAATTTTGCTATGGGGCCCTGTGATTTCTAGTTACGCCCCTGATTGTTATGCTGTGTAATGCGCTCACAGCGCTCCCACTGACAATGCCCTCATCTGCTGTTCTCTCCAGGAGGATGGCGCCATCTTGTTCCAGGCATCATCCAGGGTCACCATCTACTTCCTGGACTGAGATGCCGGCTCAGAGATGACACAATCATGTAAATCCCGGTACCTGTGCAGTTCTTGGCTGATGTTGTCCTAACAACCAATGAGGCTTTGTGGCCTACTAGGACACCGCCAGACGACCGGCAAACTGGCCAAATTGTCCACTGGTGTAAATGAACCTGTGGATATCTTGGGTTGGGGTCTAGCTCATGGTCAACCTGAACCTAAAGCTCATTTCTAGACATGTGCGATTCGTTCCGAATCGAAATTCAGACGAAATTTCGGAGATTCGGATGTATCCGAATTCCGAATAGAACGAATGCAAACTAAACTGAATTTCCGATTCCGAATTTCCGATCCGGAATTGAACGAACGGATGAAACAAAACCGAAACGACATTTTGTGTAGACTACCGATAACGAATTTCGTCCTAATCCGAACCCTGAAATGATTTGACTTTTGGACCCAAATCCCGGAAAACGAAATAACGCAAAATCCGAATGAAAACGAAACGAAACTAAATTAATTTTTTTTGCCGCTGCGCATGTCTGCTCATTTCTATTCCAGAGGAACCTAATGACAGGTTTTGTTGCACAATTCTCTCAAAGATGCAACACAATCCTGCAATTTCTTCCAGCCTGGCAGAGGTCTTCTTCACCACCACACAGGCCCGGATTCCCCCCAAGGCCACCGAGGCCCGGCCTTGGGATCCGGGCTCCGCCGCCGAGTCTCTCCTCACTGTAGGGAGCAGAGCGGCAGGGTTAAAACTAACCCTGCCGCTCCGTGTACATGAGTGCTCTCCATTGATGCAAAGGGGGTAAGGGTTGGCGGAGGGGGCGGGCGGCGTATTGCGGAACCTGGCCTTGGGGCGGCAGGGAGAGTAAATCCGGCCCTGCCTCCACTTTCTTCCTCACCAATATGGCGGTGTTTCATGATGAATTCGTCACAATGATGGCGCCATATGGTAAAAGTGTCTTCACCTAGATTGGTCACACGTGCCGGTACTGACGACGAGAACGTCTCAGGGTTTTAAGTTTGTGTCCTCCCGTTACCCTAAGGAGAACTATGGGGAAAAACACTGACCCCATAGTTCTCCTTTAATCGCTTCCGCTAAGTCCGATGGAGCTTATTACTATCACAACCGCCCCTCTGGCTGAAGAGAACCGTCTACCGCAGATAACGCACGCCGCCGAGATTAATCCACTTACCGGGAAGCTGATTTCCTCTTCCAGTATTTTGTTTCCGACAACCTGCAGCAGATTAAAGGCACAGCGTCATTCTTTTATCCTGAACCTCAAATCATTTTTCAATCTGCATTGTTCATGTAAGAATGAATGAATGGATAAAATAGGGGAGGGGCATTAATGTGGCAGATGAAGTTTAATGTCGATAAATGCAAAGTAATGCACTTTGGAATTAAAAATAAACAAAATACAGGGGTACGGGTAATATACAGGGGTACAGGTAATATACAGGGGTACAGGTAATATATAGGGGTACAGGTAACATACAGGGGTACAGGTAACATACAGGGGTACGGGTAATATACAGGGGTACAGGTAATATACAGGGGTACAGGTAATATACAGGGGTACAGGTAATATACAGGGGTACGGGTACTCCTAGAATGAGATCCTAATAGGTTGGACTTGATGGACTTATGTCTTTATTCAACCTCAAATACTATGAATGACAAATCGTACGCTTTGAAGAGTTTTTGTTTGGATGAGGGCGACCATTTTGTTCTATCTAGAGATATAAGCAGCATGCTATTACAATCTCCATGAGGTCTCATGGTCTGGAATGGTCTCATCTGTTAGTGTGCACCTACCTTCACCACTGTCCCACTGAACCTTCTTACCAGGACTGATGGAAATGTAGTTTTCATTTCCATATAATGTTGACAATATTGGGAAATTTAGGTCACTTGGAGTCAGCAAAGAAATGATGGTGGTTCTTAAAGAGATTCTGAGACCTTGCCCATTGTGCGTCAGGATCTGGATCTGAACCCGGGGCCTCTGCTGTAGCTGGCGGTGGTTCTACCTGCTGAGCCACTTTGGATAGCTCCTTGCCTGATCTCCTGTGTAATCCTCAGGTAAACCTAGTTTCTGCTGAACTCTGAACTCCTTGCTCCTCCCTTCAACTTCCTATTTAAGCCCCGCCTCTGCACTTCCTGTTTGCCTGATTATTGTGCTCCTGCGAATATCTTGCTTCCTGCTCCCTCTGTGATACAATCCGCTCATACTGCGACCCGTGTACTGACCTTTGGCTGCTGATTCACCGACTACTCTCACCGTCTTCTGCTACATACCTGGTACCTTTGCCTCCTGACCTCGGCTTGTTCGCTTCTGCCTGCTCCTCCACTACTACCGTCTGCTTGTGTACCGAACCCGGCCTGTTATACAACAAATTGCCTGCTGCTTCAGCTACTGGACTCCGCGCCTGATCCCAGATCGTGACATTGTGACGATGTCTCTGAAAAGGACCCCCCCGATCCCCTTATACTCACCTTACCTGCAGATCATCGCTTCTGTGCAACCAGCGAGAAGCACCTTTAGAAGTAGAAGAGCATGTGACCTGATCCCTTGCGATGGTGGCCAACAGCCAATCACTAAGTCCATGCACTGTCACATGACCAGGAAAGTCACGTCGCTGCTCGCCCTGTCACTGACACAGCTGGCCAGCGTTGTCCGATCCAATAAATGAACAACTATAGTTCTTATTGCTGATAAAGTGAATGTTGGTTCTGATAGAAAGGTGTCTGAACACGCAGAGCATCGCTGGTTGTCCTGTATGGGGCTGTGTAGCTGCAGACCGGTCAGGGGGCCCATGTTGACCCGTGTCCACCACCAAAAGCACCTACAATAGGCATGTGGTCATAAGAACTGGTGTGATTAATCATATTTCTTTTACATCATGTGGATGGCCGGGTGGGTGCGTCACTTACCTGGTGTAGAGATGGCACCAGGATGTATTATGGGTAGAAGACAAGCCGGCAGAGGCAGTGTGATGCTCTGGGCGATGTTCTGCTGGGAAACCTCGGGTCCTGCCATTCATGTGGATGTCACTTTCACGTGCACCACCGACCTAAACATTGTTACTGACCAAGTAGTCCCCCTTCATGGACACGGTATTGCCTGATGGCAGTAGGATAATGCACCAAGAATGGGTTGAGGAACACAACAATGAGTTTGAGGTGATGACTTGGCCTCCAAATTCTCCTGATCTCAATCCAATCGATCATCTGTGGGATGTGCTGGAGAAACAAGTCCGATCCATGGAGGCCGATCACCTCACACCTTACAGGACTTAAAGGATCTGCTACTGCCGGCTTGGTGCCAGATACCACAGCACACCTTCAGAGGTCTAGTGGAGTCCATGCCTGGACAGGTCTGGAAAGGGGGGACCTACTCAATATGGGGGGGTGGGTGGTCACCCAGATACCACAGCATACCTTCAGAGGTCTAGTGGAGTCTATGCCTGGACAGGTCTGGAAAAGGGGGACCTACTCAATATTGGGGGGGTGGGTGGTCACCCAGATACCACAGCACACCTTCAGAGGTCTAGTGGAGTCCATGCTTGGACAGGTCTGGAAAGGGGGGACCTACTCAATATGGGGGGGGTGGGTGGTCACCCAGATACCACAGCATACCTTCAGAGGTCTAGTGGAGTCTATGCCTGGACAGGTCTGGAAAAGGGGGACCTACTCAATATTGGGGGGGTGGGTGGTCACCCAGATACCACAGCACACCTTCAGAGGTCTAGTGGAGTGCATGCCTGAACGGGTCAGGGAAAAGGGGACCTACTCAATTTTAGGGGGGTCATCCAGATACCACAGTCTACCTTCAGAGGTCTAGTGGAATTCATGCCTGGACAGGTCTGGCTGATCGGTGTATATAACACGGATTAAACACATTACATGCATATATGATCTTAGGGGAAGACTGATGGTGACAGGGTCTCTTTAAATAGCGACGCTCCTTTAAACAGACGCTCATAACCAGGAGCCTGAAAAGCGCGTTTCTGGAACGCGGCGTATTACTAATTCAGCATTTATGAGATTATCTCAGCCAATTAACCTCCTCGATGTCTCACACGGGGCCGATATAAACACGACACACTTCTCCCAGAGTAACAATTATTTTCTCTGATCCGCGGCCGGCCTGGCGGTGTGTACACGGTCCTCCGTGCGTGCGGCGGGGGGGTCACATTGTACTGACCCTCTCAGCTCAGATCTCAGCCATCAAAGGACACATTCGGCTGGAGCACACTGCGTACGCGCTGACAATCTTTTAATTACTTCCCCCCGTGTCGCTCCGCAGATGGAAGTTTCAGGGTGTAAAAAGAACAATTTATTTATGGAGGTTTTATTTAATTTAAAGTTGAACTCCGGGATCAGCATGCGTTCTCTTCCTGAATCTCGGTGAGCTTTGTGTGTTTCTTACAGATCTGTGCTGCAGCAATCCAGTGCGCCATCTTTGTTCAGGCATCATACAGGGTCACCATCTACATCCTGAACTGAGATGTCGGCTCAGAGATGACACAATCATGTAAATCCCGGTGTCTGCCCAGTTCTTGGTTGTGTTCACAAATGTCTGGCACAGATCAGCCCCCTGCTGCAGCTTCTCACTCTGTGACTGGATACAAAGTTACAATGTTGCAGACTGATCACTGGGGGAGGGGAGACTGAAGAAATGCTTCCTCCTGCCTGCAGCAGACTGATCACTGGGGGAGGGGAGACTGAGGAAATGCTTCCTCCTGTCTTTTTTTTTTAACCTGACGAACTATGTAACCGCATAGGATGGACCGACCATTGATGTGCAGCCCCGCCCCCTTAATGAACACCTGACTATAAGAACTTGGTTTGTCTGGCTACGCACAGGACCGGATTTCCCACAAGGCCAACCAAGGCCCGGCCTCGGGGCAGCAGGAAGTAGAGGGGCGGCAGGGAGTAGAGGGGCGGCAGGGAGTAGAGGGGCTGCAGGGAGTAGAGGGGCAGCAGGGGGTAGAGGGGCGGCAGGAAGTAGAGGGGCAGCAGGG